TTTTCCTCACCTGGCAGGTGGTGAAACATCCGAATATGACATAATATTCTCTCGGGGCCTGTTCTTCAGTGCTTCTTGGAGCAGGATGTCTCCTATTTTGATCGATACATGTTCACATGTATGGTGCTCTTTTAACTTAATGAGGTTGTTAAAATAAGATTATCTTTGGCTTCCTACATAACCACAACAAGCATATTTTAATAGAACTTCCATTTTTCAAATTACCCCTTTCAAGAGAAATAATTACAATTGCTTATTGTGCTGCCACATAAAGTGAACAAACACAAGATTTGATAATGGAACGGCAAGTTAAAATCTGTGTAAGGCAAAGAATGCTGAGCAGCAGTGCCATCCGAATCTGACTACACTGCCTGATTAAGTTCTTACGAGGCAGTTTGGGAAGGGCCCTTTCCTGATCTGATAACTGCCAGGGAGAAGCCAAATGCAGAGTCAATCTGCAAATGCTTAATCCTCCAGAAGGCAGATTAAGTGTATAATTGACCTAGATAATCCATGTATCATCTCCAGTCAAATGTTCCCTGGGCCTGGTTCACAATGACACGGGGCCTGCAGAAAGCTAGTGCGAACGCGGCATTACCACCAGTGTGGATTCCATCCAAGTTCGAGATGGCTTTTTTAATCACTCATCTGGGAGCCTGTGAGGGTTAAGCAGATGAATTCACCCTAAGCACATCTCTTTTAATCCCGATTTTCTTCTCAGTCTGTGTCTTCAAGAAGTACAAGGAGGAAAGAAAATAAATTAATTTTTGTTTAGACCTTGAATCTGAGGTGCTTCTCTTGATGATCTGATCTCTAATTTCAAAAAGCATGTTTTTGTTTTGGGGAAGATGTTGAATTAATCACTGGCGGTGTGTGGGGGGGAAGCCATCTGCATGATTTATGGACACTCCAACTTTAAATCCCTATCTTCAAGTTATTTCTTGAGCTTGTGCATTCCTCCTTAACTGCTGCTTCAGGAATATGGAGATTATTTCATATCCATGTTTTATATTTCTTTAAAAATCAGCAATAATTGTCAAGGAGACCAAGCTTCCACTTGAGTCTTACAGCAATCTGATTTTCTTTTAAAATTCAGCATATTTAACACAATTTAAATTCACGTTATTGTACACATTGGAATATTCTCTTGATTCAAATCTCTGAATATTTTGTTTTTAAATATTAGAAACATTTTGTAGCAATCATGCTTCATTTCTTTAGGAAGAATGCACAAAAAAAGCATATAGCTGTACGCTTAAAATATCATAGGAAATAGTCTAAGGATTCTATCCTGATCAACATTTTATTTTGGTTCCTTAAAGGTATATTATCAAAAAATATTGTTAGTGCTTTATGGAAGACCATAAAACTAGCTGTATTCAACAATAGGGAAACTTTCACTGCAAAAACAATTTGATAGGCAACATTACGTGTTTCTCCAATAAACCTGGAGAATGCTTGGTTTAAAAAAAAATTGGCGAAGATGAATTTAGAAAGCCTGTTCTTAAGTTACATGATAAAGTAGGTAAAAATACAGAACGTCAATGTGGAGCCCCAAATGCTGTGCTGATAATCTGTCACAAGCACCCACCTCCAGCCAAAAGTACAGAGAGGAGGCAGAGAGAAAACTGGCTTGGAGAGCCCTGGGTAGGGGTCTGGTTAACCCGGGAAACACAGCAGGATACAACGGCTCTCGTTCCAAACATTCTCGGTTAACAGATGCACGCAAGCCATTCAGCTTTTCTACCAAGACACACTTAATAGGACAAAAAAGAAACAATACCAAATGGAAAGAACTTACGGGACTTATTAGGTAAATCAAACTGGGGCTTGAGACACAGTTAAAAATGCGACAGAAATCCTTAGAACATGCCTCTGAATGACAGATGCCAGCAGGAACAAAAAAACCAGAGAACGACACCACAGTCAGAACCAGCAACCCCCAAACAGCAAACAATCTCAGAGACATATACTTTTTTCTTCATTCAAAATGTTAATTTGCTATTATTCATTTTTGCCATTTATCAAAATGCAACAATTTGGAAGAGAAACTTCCCAGATCAACAAGTCTTTCTCAATAGGTTTCTGCCAATTGTTTAGAAACTTGCCCCAGGACTATGGTCATTAAGGAACAGAGTTGAAAGAGTGAGTTCACCGCAGCAGGAAATGTCGGGAGGCAGCTTTTGCAGGCCACTCCGCCTTGATACTATTATTCACTTGTTTCGCTTGCTGGACACGAGAGCCTTGCAGAGCATATATGCAAAGAAATAAACACCATGCTTGAGGAAACAGAAGCCGAAAATAATCAAACATGTTGGTAATCTGATGTTTTGCTGCTAGATTATAGAAAAACAGTAAGTACTGAATTAAATTACTGAGGCTGCATGGTAATGAAGCTTTTTGAGAAGCTCTGGGCTTTTAAATGACAAATGTTTTAAATCCATGACAGATTCAATAACTTTTTTGGTGCTATATCAGTTAGGTTGCCTAGCACCGATACATTCTATAAATTAGGGGATCAGATTATTTGGAAAGACAGTAAGTGGCCTAGAAATTCATGTCTAAATAAGCTCCTGAAAAATGATTTCTCTGTGGTGCCGAGAGCAAGGTACGGTGAATGGATGCAAACAACGAGAATGGTTAATCTTTTAAAATTAGATACAAAAGTATAACGAAGATGCTGTTGGGAAAACAAAATTGAGAAGGCATGAAACTGAGTTTGTGGGTGCTCACACAGTGTCACAGATGCCACTTACTCTGGCCAGAGCAATGCAACAAGGGGACAGAGACACTGTACTTGTGAAGTTAGGATGAGTCTGAACATAACTTCAGTGTTGCTTCTGTAATATTTCTTTCAAGTGTAAACTCCCCCTTAAAGCCCAGAGGGCTCCCTGTGCCTGCATTTTTCTCCACTGGGCAAGTCCACATTTACCATCTGTGCCAGCTGAGGCTGCTGTCTTTAAAAGACGATTTGGTTGCACTTTCCCTTAAAAAAAGCCACCGAAATGACCATTTGTTTGCTGCCTTCAGCAATGCTCCCTACATTTGTTCCCCTCGCACTTTTAATTTCAAAAGAGAAAGAGGGAAGGGTAGATCATTTGTCAATGAAGCAAGAAGGTAATCTGCAAATTATACGTCCAGTTCCATACTAGATGTTTTTAAGTGTCAGCGAGCATGAAAGTATTTGCACACACACGCTCATACAGAAACACGCACGCACACAGGTACACGGGCCACGCAAAACCCAGAATCAGAAGGTACCGATCAAAGGAATAAAAAGGCAACCTAGGCATTGAAAAGAACAATCCACAGGCTTCTTGAAATTTTGTGCTTTGGAATTGAATACAGCAGAGATGGGCAGAGTGTCCACACTCTTGACTGCAGACGGGGGTGGGGTGGGGTGGGGGGGAGTCTGCCTGTCTCTGTTTTCAATGCCTATTGGATGGGAGATCTTGCCCCAGACATACTAGGCTCAGGACTTCCATAAAGGCACGCATGCAGAGCGGGGATGGCCCGCCAGTGAGCTTTATGCATGTATGAGGCATTCTCAGTGGATGTGGGTCATGCTAGAAGATGTACACAGGAAGATTATTTGATTCTAATTCATGCCACTTGATATAATGTGATAAAACATTTGACATGAGAGATAAGTTCCATTTTAATCCAAGAGAGAACGAGTGGGAATTAAAAAGTAAGAAGGGTTTTTTCAAAAGAAGGTAATGAAGGAGAGAGGGGTGGAGAGCACAGAAAGGGGATGATTGGAAAAGGAGGGGGGAAAAAAAGCAAAGGAGAAAGGAACCTTTTCAACACACTAGGAAAGCAAATGAGCTGGAAGACAAAGCATATAAAAGTCAGAAGCTGCAGAATCTGAAAGCCATGCCAACAATGAGCTCACTTAGCTATGGAACAAAAACACACACACGCACAAAACTCAGTGTAAATTGGTGAATACAATCACAGAAAAAATATAGAAACAAGAATTTCATAGTAGACCAAAACATTAATGTTCACGCTGGCACTAAATATACGGAAACCTGGACAGGAGGAGCTCACATTTCACGAGACAGAAGTAGTCTGCACAGTGAGAGAGCCACACGGAGACAAGGACACCAGCTTCCATGCACTCTGGCCAGGTCTACACTGACACAGTCAGTGGAAACCTGATGCAAAATATTTGGCTGCACTGCGCAACCTCACCTGCTTTGGCCTGAAAAGAGGCAGGCAATTTGAGACCAAAGCAGATTCCTTTTTTTTCTTTTCCTTTTTTGCCTCAATGGCTTGCTTTGCAGTACAGATGAGTCACAGTGGAAATAAGACTGCTTGAAACGTATTAACCCTTGGAAATCTGCATTATCTGAAGTTTGATCTGGGTCTGGCAGCTGGATGTATTCACTTCTTTTATACCTGCTGCTTTTTCTAGATTTTTCAGGTGGTGGGTGGGTAGAGGATACCACAGATTAGAACGGCACCTGACCCAGGAATTCTCCCATAGAAGTGTTTGCCAAGACCAGGGCTAAGGATTTCTGGTCTTGCAGAAACAAAACCATCTCTGAGGTGATAAGAATGTGACGCTGGCTCTACGTCTGCATGCCATAGCAGATGCCAGGGAGTACCAATTCTGAGGAGGGAGCTGGCCTCAGCCTCCTGATGGCACATCTCCCTCAAAGGGGGCCAGATTGCAAGGAGGACCAGCACCAAGGAAGATCTTTGCCAGTTAGAGAAAGCTGCCTCACAAGCTCCGTGCAGAATGCACTGCTTGCCAAGAGGCTAGGTGCTGTCCTGCATGTCACACACACAGGGACTGAGACGCTGCCACACTGGGGGTGGGTTCAGGACAGACAGAACAGATACGAGCCTGGGGCAGAGGGAGAGGAAAAGATTCTGTTTGAGTCAGGACCATTCCATTTTCTCAAAATGTGACTTATCCTCCTGTCTCTTATTTTGTCACATTTTGGAGGGTCTCCTCCTTGGTCTTCAAGGAGGAGAAGGCATTTACTTACATCAAATAACCTTTCTATATACATCTCCTCATTGACCTTATCACGCAGGACATCCTGAGAGTGGCGGACGAAAGTCACGTAGGCGTCGGCCACATCCATCCCGGGTTTCTGCAAAGAAAGAGCAAACCGTGAAAATGGAATTTTCAGACCTTGACTCTTCAGTGATCCCTCATGCATCTGCACCCCGCCCCCAACGCCAGCTCCCTGACATCCTTCAGTGCTTTTGTGGGATCACCTCTGGCTACAACATAGCTCTCGAGAGCCTGGACTGGGAGGAATATTAGAACCCCCTGCTCTTTCCAGAAATCAAGCCTGCCTCAGAAGAGAGCAAGAGTTGTGGGATTGTATAGATTTATTTTTTTTAAACCATTAATTTTTTTCTGGTAAATGTACCCAATGGATAATCCTCACTGGATAACCTAGAGATATTCTGACTTTGCTTTGAAGTGAAGCCTCCATTAAAGAACACATAAATGCACTTCGTTTCCCATGGCCTGTCTTCCTTCTTTCTTTACAAAATATCGAGGAGGTGCTAAAGACATATTTCAGTCTGTACTTCCTCCTACCCAATTTCCATTTAACTTGAGTATATATAGTGAATATTTGCTAATCAGTTTACTGTGAGGAGATATTTCACTATTTGTCTTTTCAGTAAGCCTTGAAGTCTCAGAGCAAGGAGAGAGAAAGGCAGGGGTGAAGGGAGGATTTGGTTTTTAAATAAATTAGATTTTCTGGAAAGGTAAGCAGGTGGTTCACCCAGTAGTTAGGAAATGATTTATTGTAAAGAAGTTAGAAAGAAATCAGAATGTACACCACTTGAGATGTCAAAATCAAAGTTATCTCCAAAGAAACCTATTAAAACCCTGTAATATAGGTCATGAGGAGAGCTGCCACAAACCCCTTACATTTCCGCAGTAGACATGTATGTTTGCTAATAACTAAAAAGATTAGTTTTCATTACTGTGATTTACCTTAGATCACAAAGTATCATTTCTCTAGCAGACGTAACTGTCAGGCACTGCAAATTGAAGTTAGTTAACACTTCTGTGTAATTTCCAGGGTGAAAATGAGGAAGGTTTGGAAACAGTAGGACTGTATTTTTTTTTTTTCCTGATACAAAGCAAACAATTATCAAGCAAAGGGCCAATGCTTGGCCCCTGGGATGCTAGTAACATTTCTTAACACCTGCTGAAACAATGACAAGGTATTAATTTGAAAAACAATGAGGACAACCCCAAGCCACAGTAGTCAAGTGTTACACTTTCAAGCAATTTTCAGCAAATGGATTGAATGGGTTCCATGATGGTCCTATAATTGTTGCAGTTTTATGATACGAAACAATAGCAGTTCTCCAATGAGATGTGAGTGTTAGCTATCAGCTCTCAACTGGCACCTCTCTCCTCTCACTTTGGCAGCTGCATATCAAAGGACATGCTAGGTAGGGACTGGCAGGCTTCTTATTATTGCCTTCATTGCTTCCCTGGGGGAACTTGGGGCAGATGTAGGTCTTTCCTGGGTACATGTAGCTGTACCTGGAGCTCTGATCCACAGCCATCTTCCGTGGGCCTATCAATAATCATGATGTCACATTGATATACGGGGGGCTACTTCACTGTTCCACCTCTTTAGACTCAGGCTTTCTGTCCTCATAGGGGCATTTCATTTAGGTTTTTAAAACTTTGATTTAAAAGACAAGTCAGTTCGGCTCATATCACTCTGGTAGTTAAGAAACTCCAGGGTTTCCTCTCTTTTGATTATTTTTTTCATAGCATTTGCTGAGAGCTGACATTGTACACTTATTTGTTTTGGTTTTGTCTGTCTTCTTTCACTGGAACATGAGCTCCGTGAATACAAAACCTTTGGCCTATTTTCTACAGTGGACTCTTTCCAGAATGGTGTTTAACAGAGTAAGGACTCAGTAAACATTTGCTGGTGAACAAATCCATGAATAAATGAGTAAGTGCTCCTCTTACTTCCTTTTTAAAGTTCTTCAGTCACCTGGATGGATTCTTACTCCATGCTCTACAATCTTGAACTTGTACAACCATTCAGACCTCTCTGGATCTCAGTGATACCATCTGTAAGATGGGATTGGTAACAGCTACCCTACTTACCTTCAAGGATTATTAATGATCATCTGCTAAAATCATGTTCATGAAAATGTCTTGAAAGTTGTAAATTGCAATACAAACATGAGTTATGTTTTCTCCCACAATTTTATATCGCATCATAATCTTAAATACTTTTAGAATCTACTTTAGATCCAAGAAGAAAAAAAGAGCCTCAGTGGATCCTATACCAAGATAAAATGATTAAATTTGTATAAAAATGTATTATTTTCTCACAACAATCCTCAGCCCGCCACTCCCAACTCTCTTCCTTTCACATGGAATTCCAAATAGTTTGGTTTCCATCCCTTGATGGGCCAGGAATGGAGAAGAGGGAAATTGTTAACAGGTATGCTTTTTTTGTTTTAATGGTTGTTTTTGAGACAGGGTCTTGCTGCATAGTTCAGGCTGGCCTTGAACTCTCTTGTGTAGCCCAGGTTGGCCTGAAATTTGCAACAATCCTCCTGCCTCAGACTCCCAAATTCTGGGATTACAGGCATGTGCCCCCATACCCAGCAGGCAGATATGTTGATAAGAGAACCCCCTTATTTTGCCTGATGTCCCTGGCCTGGGGAGCAGGCTGCCAAACTGCAACACCAGACAAAGGAATGCTCTGCTGGGGTCTGGGGGTGCTGGGGCAGCTGCCCCTATACCTCAGGAAGCTCTGGGGGTTACAGTGACTTTGCAGCCACTGATGAAAGGCATACAACAGCGGTGAACCTGAGCTATCAGAGAAAAGATGAAATGACAGTCAGTAGTACACTGTTTAAAAAAAAAAACAGGAGTAAAAAGGTAGGAAGGATGTAGAATGTATTTTAAGTAGATTTGAATCAAAACAGCTAAAATGAAAACTGTTGACAAACAAAGCGTGCCACACTTGGCTCAGTGACTGATGCTGTCTTAGACTTCCCACCACACTGCTGCCCACACAGTAGGTTTGTTTTTAGATGATGGTTTTACTTGACTGCTTGGCAGGATATGACACAAGTTTTAGGCAACAGTTAAAGAAATACAAGTAAGTTTCTGTAGAGTTAACACTACCACATGCAGAAGACAGAATTTGTGAATAAGATATTCTATGGGAAAAATAGGACATTTTACTCTTGGCTTGTTCCTACTAGGATACTTCTGAATTAGAGGAAAACAACTCAAATTTCAGCATTCCAAGCAAGCCTTAATTACGTGAAGACCTTTCTAGAAAGGGATTTCCAGGCTGTACCATAGAACTATTGAACCCAAATCTCTGGAGACAAGGTTTGGAAATCTCAGTAAATATAAGCAAACAAATCAAGAACACCATCAGGTCTTACTGCTGACCATTCTGGTTTGGGAGCAGACTCTCACTGGCTAGGGGACCATCAGTAGTGCAGTGAAAGTGTTCTTCAAAACCAACAGCGAGATAAAATCAAGCCCTGATTTATAGGGCTTTCCAGTTTCCGTGGTGTAAACACTGACACTTGAGCTCCTTTCCAGTTTCCAGAGAGCCATGACAGGTACAAAACGGTGTGAGATCAAACTGATGCCCCTGAACCTTCCTTCCCCACTCAGGAGAACTTGGGCACGCTACTTAACCTCTGTGCCTCTGTTTCCCTAGCTGTAAAACATGATGAAATTAATAATCCCCTACTGGGCTATGTTTAGAAGTAAATATTGTTTACTACATGTAAACAATGTACATATAATGCAAATTTATATCCTTTTATTTTCTATAAATTATTTATTTACTAAAACATTTATTATAATATTAGCTATAAAAGAACACATGAATCAACTTAAAGTTCTAAGCATGGCTCTAAGCCATTAATAATTGCTGCAGTAATGGGTTTGATGTGCTAGCTCTATATAATTTTTAAATGAATAAAATAATTTTAAATTAATAAAATAATTTTAAAATGAAACAGAACAAAAATGATGATAGAGAATTTCAAAACAACGTAACAGGAAATTAACAATGGTTAATATATTGCACGTTGTTATCTTCAAAGTAGTTGCTCAGGGCTAGGGATTTAGCTCAGTGGCATAAGCCCCTGCTTGGCAAATGTGAGGTCCAGAGTTCGATCCCTGGTACCACCAGAAACAAAACAAAACAAAAGAAAAAAAAAAAAAAACAAAAAACAGAACATATGGGGCTGGGGACTTAGTTCAGCATCATAAGGCCCTGCCTAGCAAGTGTGAGGTCGCAAGTTTGATCCCTGGTATCAAACAAACAAACAAACAAACAAACAAAAGCAGAATATATTTAGGGCTGGGAATTTAGCTCAGTGGTATAAGCCCCTGCCTGGCTAGCACGAGGTCATGAGTTTGATCTCTGATACCGAAGATTATAAGATACAGACATGAAAAAATGATCAAACAATGAAAGTGCAAACTATTCTTTTGGATGAACTAATAGAGAGAAATTCTATATTTTTGAATATCAAATAATTACTATCAAAATAAAGACATATGTCTCTGCATTAAGAATCATTCGGGAGCTTGGCAGAATGTTGAAAAATATTGCATTAACGTTTAGCTCTGCCAGTGACCAGCTCTGAGGTCCTGAGCAAGCGAACCTCTCTGTAGCTCAGGTTCCTTATCTTTAAAGTCTGGTACTTGGAAAGAGGACATCTAAAGGGCTTAGAACAAGGGTAGCACATGGGGCAGGCTTTATAAGGCTTGGGCATAGTACATAGTAATTATAACTAGACTGCGTTTCACCAGTGGGAAATACACCACATGTGGGGACAATTTGCTTTATATTTGCCTCTCTACAAGGTGGAAATTCTGTTCTTCTTTTTTTCCTTTTCCATAACCCAACAAGACTTCTAATATAGCCTCATGAATCCATGAGTGACACTGGGTCATGGCACTTGCATGTTGACAAGAATCCACTTCACCTCTTCTTTGTAATGAACATGAAGTTGGTTTGCAAGAATCACTAGGCTGACTCATCGGAAACTGCAGATACTGGACTCAGTGGGACTTCTTCAAAATGCCACTCTAGTGTGCAGTTCGCTCTAATAGAGTCTGCTGAATTTCTCCTTGTTTGGGGTGGGTCTACAGGTCACCTATTCATGCCTCCCTGTGGAGATTTCCCTTATGTCTCAAACCCTATGAAAACAGACTCAGACACCATAATTTGGGTTGGGAGCTTAGAATTTCAACCTCTGTTGCCTCTGAAGGTCAGTGGAGAGCGCTGATGTTTGCAAATTCATCAGGCTCCCACCCTGGGCCTTACATCACCACTACCAACACCACTGCCACCACCACTAGCACCACCACTGCCACCACCACTGCCACCACCACTGCAGCCACGTGCCCTTCTCTGCCAAAAGGTGTAGTGAATGCCACGTGTGCAGTGCCATTTAATTTGCATAGAGAGCCCATGAATTAGGTCTCCCTGTCTCCATTTTAAAATGGAGAAACTAGGCCCGCAAAGTGCAAGTTTATACTTTGGGGCTTGAGAAAGCAAATTGTTCAACTTCTTTCCTTACTGCAGTTCTGTAAGCCTTTCCTACTCTCCATTCTTCTGCCTACACAAGGAATTTGAGGTCCCTTGATGAGAAGTATTATATAAATTCAAAGCATAATTATTGATTGTACATTCTTTCATTAAACAAACAAAATATATGCTAATGCTAAATTTACTCCAATTTTCCATTTTGTCTTCCTTTGAGAAATAAGCCAATAAACCATTACATACTTAGCTTCCTGGGGAAATGAATTTAAATGTTAATATAAATCCTTTTATAAAAAAACAAATTTTAACAAATAAGTATTTGAACAAGGACGGTACTTAACCACGTTCAGAATGAGAAATGTTCAGTACAAGGCCCTTGGCAGCTGTTGAGATAAGCTCTCTAAATTTAATATTTTATAATAGACTCACACTTCTTTTGTTAGAAAGAGAGAAACAGAATCATTTTCTTACCCCCTTTATTGGAATATATTTAAATCTTTCCAATTTTATTTTGCTAATAGGCAGGACAAAGTCTGTCTATAAATGTATCCTGGTTTATCACAGGTAATCCCACACTTTAGCATTCATGTGTAGTACTTAACCTCAATTTAAATGTAAATTTTGGGCAACTTTGAGTGCTTTATCTGTGAACTCTGAGGGCTCTCTTCATTAATGAGGCCTGCACTAATTATAAACAGTTTTTGTAAGGTTTTCTTAAAACAATTGCAGCATTGACCCCAAAATGAACAAATTCAGAATTTATTTGTTTAAAAAAAATACTGGTGCCCTCGTGCAAATTTTTAGCTCTGTGCTTTATTCTCAAGGTGTCTGCCAGAGGGGAGGTGGGCCAGAGGAAAGCAGATGAAAAGGACCAGAGAAACCAAAGAAAATGAAAGGGAAAGGGAACCATGGTTTACTAAGTGGTCCCTGCCTCCCAGATGAAGCAAACTATGCCCTCTTTTCTGGAAAAAAGAAATCCAGACAGCCCAGGGCTCCTGTTTCTGATGAGCCAAGTCAGGAATGTACCCTTCAATAGCAGCAAACGAAGTCAACGCCATTAAACTCCCATGAAAGTGCAATAAATAAGTAAAGACTAAAACCAAACACAGTAACAAACCCACAAAAAGCAGTTTTCAAATACTCACAGGTACATCCACGTATTTGGATGCGGCCTTCACCTGAGGAGAGAAGGAGAGGAGGGAAGTGAGGTGGGCTTTTAAGTTTAACTGTTTACAGCTCAGCCTCAAACCACATTCTGGCACATGGTGCTGACCAGAACAAGACACCAAGGTACTGAAAAACAGAATCTTTTGCTTTTTTTTTTTTTTTTTTTCCAAGCCATAGTCACTGCTTTGGGGAAGAGAGAGAGGAGGGGGAGTGAGAGTGAGTCAGCACACAGTTTTCCTGATTCAGATTCCCTCACTAGCATGGGAGCTTTACATTTTCCTCTCTGCCTTTAAAAAGAGGGAAAGTGACTCTAGTGAAAGCCAGACTGATGCGTGAAGGGTTCATCTTCCAGAGAAGCTGTGGAGACAGCTGCACTTCTCAGCACTTGGGTCTTGGTGTAATTAGGCCCCAGGTTGTCCTGATGGATTCATTTCTGTTTCTGCTGACTCGGATCTTCCAGCAGAGAAAGTGGTGGGAGGGCGTTCTCAACCAAGGAGGATGTGAATTCTGAGGTTGGCAAAACCCTCCCAAAGCTATTGTCTTACCTCCTGATTATGAAATTCATTTTCAGTTTTAGAGGAGGGAGTATGATACAGTGTAGCATTTGAAGATAGAGTGTGAAGTCAGATCTGAGTTCAGATCCAACAGTACCACTCATGGTATGACCTTGAGCAGATTACTTTATCTCTCTGACCCTCAGTGGCCAAATCTGCAAAATGGAAATACTCATATTGCCTATTTCAGTGGGTTGATAAATGGGTGGATGTACATGGCACCTGGGGGTATGGTCAGCATGGAACAAATGGCTACTAAGTATTTACAAACAAATCTGAGTGAGCGCTGTGTGTGCCATGGGAAGTCAACCAACAACTAGGATTGAGGGAGAAAACCTCAGAGAGGATGTTTGATATTCCGTGTGTTTCCTTGTGGGCCAGGTCACACACATTCCTCTAGGCACTGATGACGCTATTTCGGGTCAGGGTGAACTTCCTTCTACTGACACATGGATGGCCATCCACACAGCAGCCAAGAGGTCTGTCCACACTGCAGGCTGCCTTTGTCTTACCATGTGGTGAACAGCAATGTTAATCATCACAGTCTCCACTGAACGGCTCCCAGAAAAGTGCTCAGGGAATCATTTCCTCTATGCTCACTTCTTCACCAGGGAGGCTTTTCCAAACTCAACTCCGAAGTGACAACAGCCAATGAACCAAGAGAATAGGGTGAGAAAAGCCCCAAATTTAATAAAAAGTTCTGGAAGTGCCTGAACTATTTGACCTTGGGGGAGATCGGTCAAGTTCTTTAGCCTGGTTCCTAGGTTTTTCGGGCAGTGTGGCAGAGCTTTGTATTTTTTAGGGTTGATAGTCTGGTCATGTGGGGACACGGTTCAGGAAATGCCTGGTGAGTTTTAAAGGTGCAATTCATGATTCATGAGTTACTGGAAGGGCAATGCTTGCTTTCTTCTCTAACCATTATCTACACCAAGACGACTGCTCTTTCCCCAGTCACAGTCTCTGAAGACCTTAGCCCACCGGGCTTGGCAGCATGGATCGCAATTCTAATTCTTTGCCTATTGTGTGATGTCTGCCTCTTACAAAAAGTCAAAGAGTGGGGAGACATTTGCCTCCCTGCTGGCTCATCTGGTACCTGACTTACAAAGGGAACTCAGGGAAGATCTGTAAGGAAAGAACTGGTGGGTAGTTTTAGTTCCAGGGCTGTTGCAGACAAACAGGAAAGCCCCAGTTGAGAAGCCCCTGCATAGGTTGATGTTTATATATAAAACTAATACCCTCTGAGGGCTGTGGGAGAAGGAAACCATTTGAGTATAAGGGTGGTTTTCCAGATTTTGCACAGTTATAATTTCTATTAAATAATTCCTAAGCCTCAAATCTTTCCTCAGCAATTTTTTTGGGGGGACCAGGAATTGAACTCAGGACTTTGTGCTTGCAAGGCAGGGATTGTGCTGCTGAGCTGTGTGCCTGGCCCTTTCCTCAGCATTCTTGTTTCAAAATTTAGTTCACGATAGAAGATAAGTTACTTCTTACCTTTTTCCAAGTTTCTCCAATGTGTATTGTGTATGTTTGATGATGTTTTCACCTTTCCAAACACTTTCCTCAACAGTTCCTGCTTTAAGCCACCCGGTGACATGGGAGCTTCTAACCAAATGTAAATGTAAATCCATCGAATCTAAAGAATTTATTTTGCTCACGTTCTCAGTCAGCAGGCAGAGAAGCCAACACTTGCATGTGGCTTTCTGAGCCCAAATCCCTCCCTTACAACTCCCAATCTCCACAACACTCGTGGAAAAGCTGAAGGAGTTCAAGCACCCATGGTCTGAATGGGTGCCAAAAAGGCACTGTCCTCAGCAAGACATTGTCTTCTTTGCTCTGTGTGGTTGTGGCAGCTGCTATGAGTTTTGCTACAGCTGAAAGGATCAACCTTTAAACACACCCACTCTCCATTTACCACCAACATGGAGTTCCGATGCAGAGAATGATACTGTCAAATTCTTTTTCTTTCTATCCAGTTGGGGCAGATAAGGCAATTTCATGTCATGAATGAAACCCGTGTTCTCTCAGGCATGCATAGCCTCTAGTTCCACACACTTGCTCTTTCCTCTTATAATGTGTGGCTTGCACTTAGTCTTATTGATCTCTCACTAGAGTAGAAAGCGGGGAAAACGGCTCTGGGTAAAGTGCAGTCCTATTGCTATTTAGCAAAAGGTGGAGTATCATTTTTCAACCTGGCCATTGCAACTTTAGGATGCTACTGATGAGGATGATGAGGAGTCCAAAAGTGTATTCTACAGGGAGAGTGAAGGAAGGCATCTTGTCTTGGAAAAGGAAGAATTAATGGCAAGGAAACCCTAATTTTCATAGAGTTCACCAAAGAGCTACAGTGTAGGACAGAACTTGGATCTGGTTGTTTTAGAGCATGGAATCAGGAAGAATGAGTCAAATGCAGGACCTTGAACTGGATGTGAAAGCCATCAGAGTCTGGCAGGCAGTGGCCACATCTGGTGGCAGAGCCCCTCTCGGTGCTGGAGAAGCCCCCAGTCAATGGGGAAGGATGCTGGGGATTTGCTTCATTACTCCTGTTCTCTCAGGCTGCCTCCTGTTCTCTGATTCTTGCCTTCTTGGAAGAAAGTAGTCATGACTCTGGTGCTTTCTAAGGGAGGCAGATTGAGGTACAGCAGAGCGAGACAGCCTGAACTGGCCCTGAGCTTTAATGCCTGGGACCCTTTCCTGCACAATGGCAGCAGCACTGCCTCTAAGCATCACTTTTATTTTAAATATGAATTGTAATATGTCTTTTTGCCAGCTGCAATTTAAGAACAATGGCCAGATCTTTCCGACCCACTTGGAATTATCACTGGCACCATGTCCATTTCAAATAAATGCAGCCCTCTTGACCTCCACAAGACTATTATTCATGACACGTAGACATGCTTTTGACGGATAAAACACAAATTTCTTTTTAAAAGTGCTATGTGTACTTTTTCATGAGTGGCTGTCAAAAGTGTGTGTGTGTGTGTACTTTTCTTTTCTTTTTGGTTTTAACTTAAAAAAAAATCTTCCAGGAAAGTGGCTAAGAGAATGGTAGGCAGGATTGGCTTAGTTCAAAGTCTGGTTTTGCCATTTTCTAGCCCGGTGACTTTCTGAGTGAGGTCTTTATCTTCTAAAATGAAGTGATTAAATAATAATACTCAAAAGGATACTGGGAGGAATGAATGAGGTAATTCAGCTCAGTGAATGTAGCAGTGCCAAACAGTACTAAATGTAGTATTCTTATGCCAACTACCAGAACTATTGGCTTACTGCTGTGGAGAAAGCATCCCCGCCCTGATGGCAGCAATCAGGTTCACTCTGCACACTCAGTCCACAGGCACTTTCTTGCTATGAAAGGATGCTGGAATCTCCCCAGGTTACTAGTAGGTATTTGTATTGATTCTCAGGTTGGGAAGCTGTCTGTCCATTCTGTGACCCCCATGCTCTGGAGAACAAGCCCTCCAAACACGCAGGCTAAACACCTGTTGTCCTCCTGCATCACAGCTGAGTTTGGGCATGCTGAGAGGCCACTTCCTCAAGCCCATCCCAGCAACTATGGTCAGGAGCATACGCTAGCTTCACTGTGACTGTGCCATGTACCAGGGCACAGGAGACAAGGGCAAGGGCAAGGGCTTCCCCCTACGGAGCCATCTGGCATCCTTTCTAAGCAAGGGCTCAGCTGCCCTCAGAGAGGCAAAACTGTGACATTAGTTTGATTCTGTTTCTTGGGACTCTCTGCTTTCCAGCTGACCCCTCTGATGAGACAAAGAACACCCCTTCTCTAGCAGCATTGCTTAAACCTTGTGCCCCAGCCTCCTAGATAGCCAGTTCTGACAAAGGACAGCAAAGGAAACATAACTTGGGAGAAGCTGATGCGACTGGGATGAAGTTAGGAAGAGATGCTCACGTTACGTTCCCACCCCTCCAAATCAGAGGACACTTAGTATCTACAGGCACCACCATAGGGCTGGAGAATGCGGGTACTGGCTCCCTGATTCCTGGCGCTTCTTTGATGATCTCGAAATTTACAAGCCCTCTAAGCACTCAATGAATCAGGTCCATCCAGTGACTAATCAGTAACCTTTTCTGAGTGTTTGCTACTCATCAGGGAATGAGTTAGGAGCACTGCATATTATATGTAATCCTCACAACAGCCTTTTGCAGGACATCCTATGAATGCTCCCATTTACCAGGCTAGGAGAGCAATGTGGCTTGAAATCACATAAGAAATAAGTTACAACATTGAACTTTCTGTACCCTAAACTGCCTATTATTTAGTTTGAAAAGTATCTATGCAACCACTTTGAATGACTAGTCATGTCTGAGAGAGAGAGAGAGAGAGAGAGAGAGAGAGAGAACCTAAAATGGCTTCTCCAGGAAAAATGCATGAGGGATTTAAATAATTATCTGCACTGAGTCAGGGCAGAAGGTCCAAAATGGATTCTGTGGCCTGAATGTCCCAG